AGCTCCCCCTTATTCTAAGGATGGGCCCAAGACATAATGTTCTTCTGTTTATGCACTATCTGTGCTCCCAGTCAAAACCCACTTGAAAATACATCGAAACAAAATTAACTTGACAGGGAAATGGATATTTGAATGAAGCTTCTGCTTAAAACAATAATTTATCACTTTCTATCGTATGTCTCCACGAAACCAGGATCACGGGTGGTTTAGCTGAAATGAGGGAATTCATTACTCCCCGAAACATCTCTGGGACTCATTTCACAGGGGTTGGGAATTGTGGGGAATGATGAAGGAGAGGGAACAGACATGGACCAGGCCCCCCATTCCTGTTGGATCCTACCGAACCCTTTTCTTGCACAGCTCCATCAAATCCTCACAGTCGCCTGGAGATCCTCACAAATCACCAGGGCCTGACTTCACTCGTGAGGTCACTGGGACTCTTTCGAGTCTGGGAGCCAAGCTTGAGGTCACCCAGCTAGGAAGTGAAGACTGAGTGATGGAAGAATCACCACTCCCTCTTCCGAACTGGAATGGGCTGCCTCCTTCACGGTGTGCATCCCGACCTCAACGTAAGCCAGGCCTGCTGTGTGGGTTCAGTAGCTGCAGACCTTGTCTTGCCACATTGGAGCCCTCAGCCTGGCCTCAGGACACATGCCCCCTCAGGAGCGCTTACAGATGTCAGCTGGATGTGGGTAAACCACAGGCAAAGTGTCATGGAGTGAGAAGCTCACTTAGAGTGCCCAAGAAGTTGGTACAAATAATTGACTCATTCATTCATTCACTTAATTCATTCTGCAAACACAAACACGAGTGCATGTGTACTGCATGCTGGGGATATAACAGGTCATTTGGAGTCTGGAGTTTCAAAATCTAGCCCCAGAGTCAGCAGTATTGCCTAGGAACTTGTCAAAAATGCAAATTCCCAGGCCTTACCACTGACCTCCTGAGCCAGAAGACCCAGTAGCCTGGGTCTTAGCAAGCTCTCACTTTGAGCTGATGTCAACTAAGGTCAAGGCACATAATCATGACAGGCTGTGGTATCAGTAGGCAGGGACAGAGGTACTAGATAACTTTGGAGCTTGGAATGTTGTAAACAGAGCCCAGAATCGCATAGAGATGCCCTCTCGCTTGTCTCCCGGCAGGAAGTCTGGTCTCTCCTTGTCTCCATGCTGAGCAGCTTTTTAGAGAAGCTGGCATGTGGCCCCTGGTCTAGCTTGGCCTGGGCACACTGGCTCTGCTGGGAGTCCAGGAGTGTCTTGGGGACTTGGAGTGGAGAGGAAGGGGCCAGCAGGACCTCAAGAAAGTGAGTACCTTCTTAAGGTGTGTTTCTTGGTAAAGTGACAGTGAGTCAATCAGAATTTGCAATAATTGGAGTTCAAGAAGTATTGGGGACAATAGTTCACAAATTTTAGTGTGCAAAAAACATCATACAGAGTTTATCACATATCAGACTGCCAGTGGACACTCCCTGATGTTCCTGGGGAGCCCAGATTTTGCATATCTCACAAGTCCCCTGGCAATGTCTGTGCAGTGGTTAGAGGAACACCCTTTGAGAAACATTTGTGACATGTGTTTTCCGGGCCTCAGGGGCCAGCTCTTAGCTTGAGCCATGTGCCCAGGCTTAGGCCCTGTCCACCCTGACTTCTGGGCTCTTGGAGTCAGGTTTGTGGTTGCATGCAGGTTTCTCGGAAGAAGATGACTAACGACTCTCCTCGGACGGGTGATAGAGAAGGGCCCTTCATCTGGCTGGAGAGTGGTTAATGGCACTATAAGCAACGAGAAATAATGAAGGCTTCAAATCTAATTAGAATATGAAAGTTGAGATCTTGTTCTATTTTTGAACAAAGCCTGAGTTCAGCAGGAATAATCAATAGTGGGGTTGGAGCTGCCCATCAGCCCTCACCCGGCCAGGCAACCAGCTTCCTTTGGCAAAACTGATAATGGGATGAGTGGCTGGAGAAGGGGGAGGGGACCAGCATTAGAGACGGGGCTCTCCTGATGTGGGGGGCAGTTAGAGGGAGAGATGGGAGGCCATGAAGCCTCCAGACCCTCTCAAAACTCCCACCTGACACCGAAGGCAGAATGGGTGGCTGCAGAGTGCATGGTGCATGGTCTCGCTAGGTCAGAGAAAGCAAATCCTCTCTCATTTGACTGTTAATGAGAGTTGAGGGGATGACTTAGTGAACATGCATGAATTTTTGGAGCCAGATCCTAAATTGAAGCTCAGTCCTGTTCACTTATTCACTCTGTGATTTGACAAATCTTGCAACCATTCTAAACTGCACATTTCCCGCTTATAAAGTGGTGAAAATAATACTGACCTTGAGGATGACTCCATGAAACTACAATAGCAATGACAGCTCACAGGTATGGAGCTTTTCTATGTGCTTTGTGTGCACATATCCTTCTGTTGGTCTTTACAACATCCCTTTGAAGGGAAGTAGAAGGACTTGCCCTCTTAAATTCAAATAAAGCAACTGCCTAGTGTCTGGCACACAGGAGGTGTCATTTTCCCAAGTCTCTTGAGCCAGAGTGAGGCTTCCAGAACCACTGTCCACCATGGGGTATTTCTGGTCCTGAACCAGTGGCCAAACAGACTGATTTGGTGGCTCTGGCCTGAAACCGGGTGCAGAGTCTGGAGATGCTCGCGTGACAACCGTGGGGCAGCTTCCCAGGAACATCCCACCCAGATTTGCCTTCCTTGAAGAAAAGTAATGCAAAAGGCCATTTTTCACTTTTAAATAGCTTTCATTCTATGTCTTAATAAATGCACGTTTGTTGATTTGTGTAAGCATGATGTGGGAAGTCTGCAAATGGATGTAATCTGCACCGAGGGCACATGTAAGCACCAGTGAGCACTTTTGAATAATGAATCCCTCCCGTAAAAGACGGACGCTATTCATAATAATTCCTTGCTTTTCTCATTTTGCCGCGTACAGTAGCGATTAATCAATTTGCAATGTTATGTCACCCGCAACAAATTGCTAGCACCAAGACAAATTTATTGCTTTATGATAAAAGAACTTGTTTAGGTAGAAATAAATTAAATTTGGGGGTTGTTCTTTGGGTTTGAAGCTCATATGGGTGACCCATCGAGAGTGAATTGGGGACGCGTGGGATCCAGGTGATTTCTGGATTGACCTGGTACCTGGGAGAGGAGTCCCAGGACAAGGCGGCGTTTGCTCAGTTACTGACACCAAGACAGAGTAGCGTCGAGAGCCGTGGTTTTCCCGCTTGTGTTCTGGGCGCTTAGCGGCAGTTTGTGTGATTTAGACCTTTTCACAGAGAGGTTGGACAATCGGCAAACCTCCCTCTTCCATACTTCACCTGAATGACAAGATTTTGATTTACCTCAAATTGGCAGGAGGGAACAGGAATGGGGATTAGGGGTTGGAGGGTGGCAGAGGTTCCTGATGATTTCATTCACCAAGGCTGCTGGTGTCTTAAAATATTTAGGGTGTGGGCGGGAGAAGAAGGACGAAATGGTATTACCAGATAGTGGTATAGTAAATGTTACGCTTAGTAAATGATGCTTTTAACACACACACAATTTAATTCTGGGTAGTGGTGTTCACATGGAGGCTGTCAAAAGCCTGGGGCACTCTGTGGTGTCAGGGCTGGGCTGGATGGATCAGGATGGACTTAGGGACATGCAATTCTGTTCTCCCGTCTCACATTCGTGACAAGCGGCTCAGAGGCTGAAAGCATTTTGCCGGAGGACAGAGTGAGGGGATGCAAAGAAGCATCTGACTTCCAGGACAGTCCGTCATTAATTTATACTTCATTAATTTGGAATCTGGAGTGGAATCAGGGATGGGTGCATTAATTCTGCCCTCCCCCAAAACGCACACGCACACACACACGCACACACACATTTGAATCAGGTTTTTTTTTTTTTTTTAAAGCAATCTGATAATCTAACAGGATTTGTGAAAAGTGGTTTTCAATAAAGAAGGATGTCAGTTCCACTGTCCACATTAGTGGGGTTCTCTTCCCCAGCTCATCAGAATTCATTCTTCCTGCTCTGAAGCAGGGGCTGAGACCCCCCTCCCGGGATACCTTGATATACCCTTCCAGCAGCCAGGGAAAGCCTCCCCCCCCCCCCCCGCATCAGTGGATTTTCGGGCTTTGCTCTCTGTTCCCCTTGGCTCACTTTAGTCTGGGGGTGGGGGGGTGTGTACAAAGGCCCCCTGTCTACAGAAGCTCCTTTCTGCAGTATCTGAGCAGCCTCTCGGTTGCCCCCTCCAATCTCAGTGCCCACTCCCAGAGCCCTATGAATGACGGGGAGCAGAGAACTCCAGTCCTTTGCTGGGGCCATTCTGCTGTGTTGTCACTGGGGGGTGGCAGGGAGGGAGGCTGGACTCACCTGGTGGCGGCTTCTTTGTCTTCCACTTTGCCAGCTCCGTGGGCTCCAGTCGGCCCAGGTCCCACTGGGGCGGCCAGCACCCTTTATGCACCTGGCAGGGCCTGCCCACTCCTGGATGCCTCCCCAGCTGGGGGTCCTGGAGAGGTTTGGCCCTCGGCCTCGGTGGGGCTGGGTTGCCCCTGCTCTCGCTGCCCGCCCGCTGGCTAATTCTGATTATTTCTCTTTCTCCTTGCTCTCTTGGGCGCCTTTATTCCTGACCGAGCATTTTCTTTGGGCTCAGGATTAAAAAAAAACCCACACTGCTAATATCCTTGTCAGCCTTTTCCTGAATCATTGCTGTGCAGCTCCGGGGAGGTATGGGCCAGTGCCTCCTGGCCGGCAGACTCCATCCCTCGGCCTTCCTGTCCTGGTGCCCCGGGAGCCCCCTTCCTGGGCCTCCTCGCCCCTGAAGGCAAAGCCCAGAGGCCCAGCTCCTCTGAGACATGCCCAGCTGGGGAGCTAGATGGGGCCAAGCACTGAGAATCCGGCTGACCTTTTCCTTCGCACAGGTGACTTCTCTCAAATGCTATTTAAAAAAATTTTAAGTGCTTTCCTCTACATTATCTCATTTGCCGTTATTATCCCTGTTTTACAGATGAGCAAATCGAACCTCAGAAGACTTAGTGATTTATTTGAGGCGCATAGCTACTGAGGGTCAGGACGCCCCCCTCCACAGGCATAAGTCAGGTATGGGAGGAATAATCATTTCTATTTGGCGGGTGAGGAAACTGAGGATCACGTTGCCAAAAGGGCTTATCTCAGCAGGTATAGCCCCAAGAGATGGTGTTAGAAGCCACCTTCAGGTATCCCAGGGTCCAGGCCAGGGACACAGAGCAGAGCTCTACTGTCTACACTGGTCCTGGCCTCAGGGCAGTGCCCAGTCCTGGGCAGGGGTCTGTCCTGTGTTGTGCATGAACCCGGTTGAGACCAGGCTGGGAAGCATGTACCAGAGGGTACTTGGGAGCCCTAAGTCCAGGAGTCCAAGGTGGCAGGAGGCTGTCCTGGTGGTTCCTGTCCATTCACATGCCTGGATGGGATTGCGTGTTTATATTTCCAGGGAGAAGTCTGTTTAATGTCTTAGCGCATCATTTGTGTGGTCTGGGTGGTGTCTTCATTTCAGTCTGTTTCTGGGGACAATTGACCAAACAAGACTCTGGCTGGTAACATACATTTCCCAAATTCTGGTTCAGGTCTGTCCTATTAGAGAGGAAGAAGATTCCATTTTGGCAAATGCTCCCTTCTTCAGGCAGCCCTCCTTGATTCTTCAAGACAGAGCACCCCCCCACCCCACTCCCCTTTGGTCCTGTCACACATCTCCAAATGGTCACATGCCTACTGCTAGGGTCTCACCATGAAAACTCGGATGCATGATCCCCCACACATCCGTAGATGCACACTCACCTGCACATCAGTGTGCCTGCCACCAGTCACCAGGACACACATCTACCACCCTCATCCTCTCCTGGAGACAGCCGTAGACAGACATCACACTCAGACACAGTGTTGTGTGACACACACACACACACACACACACACACACACACACACCCCTGAAGACAAAGGCAGACCCATCTAGAGACAAAGAGTCTGTTGTGTATGCACAGGCGCTCTCCCCAGGACACCCCCTTCCTATTACCCTCGGATTCTGTATGCCCTCCCCAACATACAGGGGAACTTGGCCTGCTCTGGCCTAATTGTTGGGTGTCAAATTAGACACTGAGAACTTTCTGGACAAGAAGCCTATTCCAGTTGGGGCCTCTCTTTTTGTCCTTTTTCCCAGACGAAACGGCCTGCACTATCTCCAGGTAGCATCTGCCCGCATCACGCCCCTGATCAGATAGGCATCCTTCCTGTGGGCCCTAGGGCCTGTCACCACCTGGCCTGGCAGCTCAGCACTTTCTCAATGACTCCCCAAGGTCAACTGTTGCTTACTCAGTGGTTTCCCCCCCTTCACATCTGAAGGTCTGTTTTTCTCTGGACAAATGCCATCCTTGCCCTCACCTGCCCCTGGCACTGTTAACTTGGTGGAACAGTAGGCAAGAAAGGAAGGCTTGGTTGAGTTCTGGCTTGTGTCAGGCCACAGAGACACAGTGAGTCCCAGAGGGGGACAGTGACAGAGCAAGGGTCCTGGATTCTGAAGGGCTTGGGTTTGAACTCCAGCTCTGACCCTTCCCAGAGGTGTTACTCTGGACAGTCACTTGACCTCTGCAAACCTCAGTTTCTACCTCTGTAAAATGGACATAACCATGTGACCATTATAGAACTGTTGGCATTAGATGAATTTAAATGCATGTATTAAAACACAACAAAAGTTGATAAATGATAGTGTTTCCTAAAAATATTAGTGAACAAGATAATTGTTTTAGCAATTACCTTACCCTCATTGCTAAGCCCTCCTAGGCCCTCTGAGACTCAAGCAGGGCCTTAGTGGTGGCTCAAAGAAGGTCCAGCAGAGTGGGGGGAGGTGAGGGATAGGGCAGGGGTCTGGGCCACTCTCACAAAGTGGGAGAGAGCTGGGTAGGTGAGCAGCGCCTTTCATGGGTGTCCCCAGCTACCTGGCACTGATCAAGTGCTGCCTTTAAGGCCCAGGAGATGCTACAGAGCCAGGAGGGAGGGAACTCATGGATAGGGAGTCCTGCCTGGACAAGGACCATATCCGTGCTGGTTATTTTCATGTGTTATCCTGTTTAATCTCAAAATGATCCAGCCAGGATGAATGAGGACGTGGCCCTTAAGTGACTGAGCTAGGACTTGAACCCTTGATTTCTGACTTGACACGAGGAGCTGCTCCTCAGCCTCCTGCCACCTCTGGACCTGAACAGCAGAAAAAGTGAACCACACGCAGCCATGAAAGCAGCTTCCAGCTTCCTTGTCCTCCGAGACAAGATGCTGAACAAATCCATCCAGTAAGCAGCACTTACAGCAAATCTTACTCCACAGGACAATTCAAAGACCTAGTTTATGCAGCTGCATATGAAATATGGCTGGTGTCTTAGGACATCTGTATAAAAAGACTATTCCTTTACAGTCATACTCTCCAAGTCCCCTTTTATGGGAGAACTGCCTTTCTTACCCGAGGCTGATCTGGAAGGCAGAAGACTGGGGAGTTTTTCCTATGAACTCATGGGTGGATCGGGGGTGGGGAGGGCCTGCAGGTAAGTTTAATTCTCTCTCTCTGGGCCTCAGCTTCCCCATCTATGAAAGAACATGGTTTTCTGGGGGTGATTTCTGGGTAATTTTTACAGAAATGCAGCTGCATTCTTCAGTGTAGAACTCACGTTAGCCCAACAAGGGATGTTTTTCCAACTTGTAAATTGACTTACTGGGAAATCATTCCAAAGGCACGCACTTACACAGTGTTTGGTTAATGCATTTGGAGAATCCAGGAACACATTCCCATGGGGTGTAGAAACCTAGGCAGGTAGCTGTGGCCGCCCCAGTCTGGGCTCTGACCATCTGGGCAGAAGGATTCATCTCTGAATCCTTTGTCAATGATTGAGGCTCTCGCTTCCCCTCCTTCAGAGAAAGCAGCCATGTTCCTGGCCCAGGTGCAAGACCTGTCTTTGCTCTGGTCTGTGGTGACTGGAAACCCATGTGGGGTCCGTCTTTCCTCCAGAGACAGACGTGCTCGGGGTGAAGGGTGAGTCTTGCTGTGTGTGTTTGGGGTTTCTGCTAAGGACGACGCAGCCCTGCTAGTGTATTCTCCTGGCACTTTTTAGGGGTGGGCTGGGGGAAGGGCATCGGCATCCTGTTACTGCCACCAACAAATCAATATGTTGACAGAACCGCTTTCCTCGTGTGTCCATTTAAACACCGATCCCCACGCGGGATTCAGGCTGACCGACTCCATTTGCCAAATGCAAATGCATTAACCTTACAATTGGGTAATCTAATAAAAAGGATCAATGGTCTGATACGGTGCTTATGGAGTCATTTACTGCAAGCGAGAGCAATTTAGCCAGGACCCAGACGAGCGGCTTGGGGGAAGCTGGGAGCAGGACTCAAGCTGGCCGGCCCTCCTGCCTGGCTTCCCCAGCGAGGCCCACGTCGCCTGGAGCCGATGGGCCGAGGGGCCGGGGAGCCAGGAGGGTGTTATTCATTCATTACTGCCACTTTAATCACTTAGAGGTTCAATTAAGTATAAATCATTAGTGGTATTTCGAGTTACTTTATCCAGGCCCGCGCCCAGCACACTTGACTGGCGGTGGGGAGCTTTCTGCGACTAGATTTAGCGTGTGAGTGAACGAGGCGGTCATATGGGTTTTTCTGCTATGAAATTGATAAATGAAGCGGGCATTCGAGGTACAGCAGTAATTTCTGTGGTGCAGCCAAGTGCTTGCTCCCTTGTCTCCTCCAGCGATGAGGGCAAGGGCCCCTTTAATGCGGCAGCTTTCCCCCAGGGGCCCAAAGGCCAGGCCAGGGCGGCAGCCCTAGGGTTTATTTCCACGCAGAACTTCCCAGAGCTGGCCCCGGTTCATTAGCGGGCATCTACCTGGGGAGGGAAAAAAAAACAGAAAGAAAGGAGGGCAGAGAAAAGTTCCTTCGCCCTCATCTGCTGGCGCTCATTCCGTCATCATTTCTTTAGGGCAGGGAGCTGGCCGCGCGGGGAGGATGGAATGGGGCTGGCTCGGCAGCTCTCCCCTCTTCCCGGGGATGCTGTGGTCCCCGGTGGCCAGCATCCCTGTCTGGAAAGCATATTTTCTCCTAATCGGTTTTACAGCTCTTTTAAAGTAATATGTCAGATCATTTTCCCCATATACATAGTTAATGAAAGTAACCCTACAAATTCATTTTAAATAGATGGAAGTTGTTATAACCCTGATCCAGAATTTATTACGTTCATTACAATCTTGCTGAAGTAGGTAATGTAATGGACTATTACTTTTATTATCTTTTTAATCCCTCAAAATTATTAGGAACTGACTAATATTTGGCATCACCCTGTTAATGTTTAAACAGAAATTGATACTTTAATTCGTCTAATAAATGATGGGGGCACTTTGAGTGGAAACAAAAACCTTGATGGGGTTTATCTCGATCAGTCCCGAAGACTTTTAAGTGGGACTCAGGGGTCTGAATGCAATTATTTCCAGGCAGGGTATCTTCATTAAGTACTCAGGAAGGACAGAAGAGCAGAGATGGAGATAGTGACAGAGAGACCCAGACGGGCGGTGATAAAAACAAGGCAGAAAAGTGAGGGAGAGAAACTCCATTTCCAAGTCCAAGTTCTAATTCTGATTCGCACAGAGCTCCGACGTGGGCTGCGGCTACCCACGCGTGAGATTTGCGTAGCTTTGCCTTCTTGCCTCCATCCTCGGCTCCCTTCCTTCCCAGATTAAAAAGATTTTTCTTTCTAACCATTCCTGTGTTTGTTTTCAGCTTTATGGCGACGAATTCGCAAGTGCTCTAGAATCTGTGTGTTGCCGAGACAAATGATTGGGTCACATTCTCCTAGCGAGGAGTGGAGACCTTGCTTGCTCCTCAGAAAATAATGATGGCTGCTCAATTTGCAAGTTTCCGAATCTCACCGTGAAATGGGAGGGGGCAGGAGGAGCCTGCTGCTGTGTCTCTTCAGGAGCCGCTGGGTGATGCGTTTACTCGGTAGAGCTCCCTGACCGGCTCCTGCTGGGTGGGTGACAGGTGGGACTTAGGAGAAATTGATCTCTTGCACTCTCTAGCTTTTGCAA